CACATTACACATCCACCTCAAACATGCAGAAGTACTGTATGTTTAACGAATGAGAGTTTCTACAATGAACTGGTTAACTCTGTCATTGTGCTATAAGATAAGCATTTGCTGTGTTACTACAGTAATATGTTGGGCTTTCTTAGGAATGCCCTCTCACCTTACCCATGAGATGACATTGAACCATAAAATATACACGAGCAGAATGATGAGGAAAAGTCGTGAATGATAATCTCTATAATTATAGCGAAAACACTTAGCTGAGTAATCGAATAGCAACAAATTATAGTAAATGTACAGCTTAAATCAAATGGGTTTAAAAATAAGGTTCGAGAAAACAGATACGTTTGATAGTGCCTCCGGTGCTTTTATCTGTGCAGTAATGTCACAGAACAAAAAGAAGGCCTGTAGAGTTATGCTAAAGTCTGAGGAAGATAAGTGAATTTCCACGAAGCCTGTTATACATAAAGTGCGATAGTGAAGGGCATGCTGTGGAGAGTAATGTTAAACATGGTTTCATTTCTAAAGGAAGGAACCAGAAGTCATCATAGTTGTTAGTGACATATATTATCTAGAGTTAGCTTCTGCCAAAATTTCTGCTCTTATCATATTGCGCTGCTATAAGAGTTCAAGTACAATATTTTGCGTTGACATATTTACCCTCTACTTCCATATCACTAGTTTTATTGTTAAAATGTCTGACAGTGCAATCCCTCCCGTAACTCACTCATAGTTCTGCTGGTGTTCCAAAATCTTAGCATTTATCTGATCATGAAACTATTTGGTTGAATTAAAGTCTTACATCTCCCTGGCTGTCATCTGTTATTCTGTATTGGAACACCTTACGGAACCGGCACCTTAGCAATCCTGGCACATTGAACACAATAAGTAGATTTACTGTCACACAATTATAGTTGGGAAAACTGATGCATACATAATATTCACTAAATATTATCTCCAAATATGTTTTTAAAATTTTGAAACTCAAGCTTTTTCAGGAGAATCTGAAGCCAATAATTCCATTTTGTCTGAATGTATGAGACCATTTTCTCTGAAAATTTCAGGTTGTGCAAAATTGTGCAGCCTTAATTTAAAATTTGGCATTGATAGAAAGAGACAGCAAATTATATTTGAAACCATCAGGTTGCATTCTAATTGACTCCAAGGTAAGCAACTTGTTTTTGTCAAGAAGAAAAGCATCTAAGCACTTTGCTCTGTTAAACCAATCAGTGGAGTAAAATATCATAAATGTATTCAATCTTCATTTGAATATTCATGTTCTAAATTGATTTATTTTCATTGAAGAAGGTAAAGTATCATAAGAAAATCAAACACGGCTAATGTGTTTGTGCAATTAGAATAATGTGGGTAATACAGTTAAGACCAGATTTTTCTTACTCCTTTATCCAAATGTGAGAAACTCACTTTTGGTTTTGAAGAATTAATATAATCGCACTCTACAATGTCCAATCTGAGTGTCTCCTTTGAGGGTAGTGCAGTTAGTGTGGACCTATGTTCATTGCAAAACTCCCAAATCACTCTTTCCCCAATTTCTGGCAGATATATTCCAATATTTTAAAACATCATAAGAATTAAAAACATTCGTGCTATTTTTCTGTCGTCATAATGTTAGCTAATCTTCGTCAATCTGCATTAAATAGTTTATCTTCATGTGTAGGTGGGATGCATGGAATTCTCAATTTGGTTTGGATACTCTTTAAGCAACGGTGCTGGGTTTCCCACATGTGTCAGACCCCAGGCTGATTAAAAAAAATTAGGAGAGAAAGAGAGAGAGGTAGCATTGAGCAACTAAATATTGGCCAAAATGGTGTAACATCCAGAAGTGTAACTTTCCAAGAACACACCTTTTATCTTACTCTAGTTACTAACCATGAGTTGATACCAAAAATGAGTATACGATTGATAGCAAGAGGTTTAGCAAGTATCTATTTCGATTCAGACCCCTGTGTGCTGCCTGCTCACATTGCTGCCGACCTCAGTTATTTTTGTATCTACGGCTAAGAAATAACCTTCTGTTGTGGCAATCCGCCATGCAAACAGGACAGTTGGGGGGAGCTCATCTGTCTTAGGGTCAGACTTTCAAAGTCATTTTGTTGTCAGTGCTCGATGGAAGAAGAAAAAAAATCTACGGAGATGGAACAGTAAAACCTCAGCACCAGTTTTCACCAGAAATGATTGACCTTATTTGAAGTATGAGCTGAGGCCTTGAATAAAAAGAAAACTGGAAATCAAATCTTTCCGTTATTTTTCATTCGGATTGAAAATACACATGTACTTTTCCATCGATGTAAGGGAGACCTTGGGGTCTTTTTTTGGATAAAATGTGTTAACCTCTTGTTTTTATTTTAATAGTTTAAGAATATTCATTGAGGATATTTTTCTTTCTGCTCAGCTTCACATCAAGGAAGGAATTTTGCTAAACGCTTTATCATACTTGAAATTGCTCACTACTTATTATAAATCTGAATCATGTTAAATCAGCAAAAGTCACATCTGTGATGTCTCTACAATATATTGCAACACAGTGACAAAATTGCATTAGAAACACCATAAATTAATCTTGGCAAGCAGCAACTAAACTGTGGACCCCTTCAGGATAGCAGACATGACATAACCAAGTTAGTAATATATTAAACTTCCAGCAGCATGACACGAAATCCTAAAGATTAAGGACATACCGTAAAAATCAAAATCTTTAAATGAATAAAACTGCTGTTATCAAGAAAAGATAGGACACAACTGGAAACAAAGCCCATTCGATTGGTAAAATTACTGTAAGTTAGCTCTGCTGCGCAAAATGAAATGTGCTAAATGGAAGACAAAATTGCTTTTACCTTATCATGCCCCGCACAACACCTACATAACCCCTACTCTCAAATCCAATTTACTCGTGTTTAATGTACGTTAATGTTCTTCTGGTGCAATTAGATTGTTGCATTGTTGTGCTGGCAGATTAGGTGCCATGGCGGAGGAGGATTGTGCGATGTGGCAGGGCGAGTGAGCTCCATGGTATCCAGCAGAATGTGGTCCACAATTTATATTTAGATCACTGCTGCGGCTCCACTGATACCTGTTTTTCTTCGCCTGCAATTTGCATTTCATTTTTGGTCAGGAACAAACAGATGGATGTGGAGGTGGATGCAGGACACCAACTGGTTTAAGATTTTTGGTCTCCAGACCAACACAGTTTAGGTCATGAACATCAGCTTCCCACGGCTCCCACCAGGCCGAGGAAAATAATCAGACCATTCCACGGGTTTCTGAATTTGCTTTTGCATTTCGATTTCTACTGAGTAACAAAACCACTTATTTTTTTGTTAACAAATATTTTGAGGAAATGTGGTATTGATTTACGCAATGTTAAATCGGAGAGAGATTAACTCCTGATGAATAATTTCTGTTTTCTATGTTTCACAGTGCGTTTTCGTGTTTTATTTTTAGCTGTTTTAATTAATTTATAGAATAGTTGTGCGTGCAATTCACAAATGTAATATTCCACAGCAGAGGCTCAACATTTTCATTGTCGTTGCCTTAAGACCATTATCTTAAAATTAATGGTCGTGCAAATTGTGGCAAAATTTGGGGAAATTCTTAAAATCTGTTTTAATCCAAAAGCTTTTTTTTTAGAAAACAAGCTGCTGAATTACGGCTGAATGTATGAGTTTTTTAAAAGACATTTGTCTTTAGGTTAAAGCCATAACAAAATGTGAGGGCCGTTGATTTGAATTCTGTTTTTAAGAGCCGTAGTTTGTGGTGAAAGTTCTGCTGTAAATGTCATTCTCCTTGAACTTCCACTGTTTCGTTTCTTTTTGGTTCTCTGTATTTTTGAGCCACTCAACTTTCCATATCTAAAATGGTAATGAGATGTGTCTGCTAACAGGCCCCTGTATTAGAAGCCACAAGAAAGCATGTGAGCTCAGGCCTGTAGGCTGACTTGCCCTTTGATGGATTATTTTTTTGTTCCTCTTCATGGAGAGGAACTCCTACATTCGGGATCAGATAGCACAGACTTCATATCGTCAGTCCGTGGCACGGCACATTGCAGTGCCAAAGCACTAGACCCACGAAGGGGCTGTATCTTAACCAACGCAGTCCTGTTCAATGGGGAAAATTATACTAAAAGGACCAATTCAAAAAGATGCCTGCACTAGAGCAAATCAATTGCCAGGCTGGAGTTTGGTTGTCACGTTACTCAGTTCAGTACATGAAAAGAAATGCCCTGTAGTAACCAGTGCATACACCCGAGCTAACCTGTAGCTTTGTTAGAAAGCCGGTTTGTATCAGAGTCATTACTGATATTAAAAGCCTTCACGGGAAACCGCAGGAACCTCTTGGGAACTTTTCAAATTTAAATGGTAACGGTCAAAGAGGTTGCTTTGTGCTGTCCGCGCTCCTCGAGACAGTGTTTGAATGAACCCCTGAAAGGGCAGATACGCCACAGAGTTTGTGTTGATTCCGCAACAAAATCATATCGAATTGGCATAAACTGTGACCTTTTAAGTGTCAAATTCACACCTACAAAATACACTGTCAATTCACTCTACAGTATATTCCTGTGAAGAGCTTTGAGATGACTCAACGACGTGATAAGGCAATACATCTAATGCAAGGATTATTAAATACAACTAAATCTGTCATAAAACAGAGGGTTCCTTGAAACGATGACGATTATTGACATTTTAATTCATTATTTGGATGTAAAATGAAGCTTTGTTTTACTGCTTTCCATTTTGTTACCGTGAAGAGTACTAAATCCTCTACAATATTGATTTTAAGTCCTAATAAATAAAAAGAATGTGGTAACATTGCCAGTGGGTGCGAACACAAATGTTGTATTGGATAATGCTACATAATTTATTAGAAAACTCAATAATAATAATAATAATATCTATAACAATAGCAAAAAAAATACATTGGGCAGAAAAGATTTTGTTTCATGTCAACCCAAAACTGATATTATTTTCTCCCTTTACGTATTTTAGGATTATACCCTGACGATGTACTTCCAGCAGGCTTGGCGAGACAAGAGACTATCCTATTCAGAAATACCCCTGAACCTGACATTGGATAACAGGGTGGCCGATCAGCTCTGGGTTCCAGATACATATTTCCTGAATGATAAAAAATCTTTTGTGCACGGTGTCACTGTAAAGAACCGAATGATACGTTTGCATCCGGACGGCACAGTTTTATACGGTCTCAGGTTAGTGTTCTTAGGGTCGACAGCAATTTAATCTTTTTATTTCAGTTTTTTTAAGCCATGGTTCTTGTGATACACACAGACTGAAAAGTATAATGTCACAATGAACATATATATATATATATATATATATATAAAGCTCTCCATTTGTTCAGCGCGCTCTCTAGAGCTGTCACATTTGCCCAGCTTTTAAACTTTGGATTTTTATATATTTTGACAATTTTCAATGAGAGAAACTTCCATTTGTGTATCAGTGACCTTCATTCTAACATATAGTGCATCGGCTGAGGTGAAGCTATTACTGAAGCATTGAATACATATGATCACCAATGATTTTGAATAGCGTTTCTCTCGGTAAAGGAAAAAAAAACTATGCGATTCATTCTCCTGAAGATCAACTGTGATTCCTCTAAATCTGAAGCTGAAACTGGAGCTCAGACTGATGAAATGAGGCTTCTAGCTTATAGATTGCTCTACGTTTCTAACGGGAAATGAATTTAGACAATCTCAATTTAGTTCCTATTCAGATGTGAGTTCACAGAAGAAACTTTCCATATTTTCTCATCAGTTGGGTTTAAATTTTCAATCTCATTCGGGTCGCAAGGGTGAATGGTTTGGGAAATTGAAATGTCACACTTGAGTAGTGGGAATTGTTCTTCTGAGGTTCAGATCCAGGAAAATTGTGAGGAGTTGTCGTGATGCAGCATCAAATCAGATCTAATCAGAGGAGAGGCTCCAAATCTCTTCAATTGGAAATCTAAACACCATTAAAATAAATATTTTACAAAAACTTTGCTAATCGTTTTCAGCTTTTACTTATCCTTTCTCCCTTCCATGGCTCTAGAGATCCAAATAAATCAATATTTAATTTGATTCGAAAAGTCCAATGTTGTATAACTTTACAAATTCTATAATGAGCCCAAGATTGAGAGATGAATAGACCTGTGTTTTTTTTAACTGTGTCTGACCTACATTTCATTAACTTAAAACAGAAACATATTGACAGTTTAGACCAGTGAAGAAAAAGAAAATAGATGAATTGACCAAAAGGAACACCTAAGTTGATGTTACCTATGTCCACTTTACACCACACTGAAAGAGTACGACACATAGTTTGGACCTCTGCGAACTAGTGTTGGTTTTTTGTTAATAGTATTGAAGAACGAATCATACACTCACCTTTTTAAGAACATTAATATCAAATCCTTAAATGTCCTTGTATGGTCCATTGAAACACATAAACTTATAAACAGTTAAAGAAGACAGATGCTGATAACCATAAGCTTCTCGCTCTGAACAATCCTGTGTTGCGGTCTATGGCAATTCTATGCTTTTGTACTTTCTGACTATTTTCAGAATTTTGTGACATAATAATATTTGATCCTCATTGTCCAGAGGATATGACTCATGGATCCCTAAGACACAATGCCTAAAATTCTGGAAAGTTTACGTACGAATCCCAGGACCTATTCCTGAATTGCAATCATGCTGTTGCATAAAATAGCACTCAAATAGCACTTGGCGATGTCATGTGGGGAATTCTCAGTGGAATACTCGCATGGAATTCTCGGCTTGGTTCGGATGCTCTTAAGCTCGGTGATGAGTTTCCGTGTGTGTCAGACGCCCGGCTGACCCCCCCCCCCCTCCCCCCCCCAAAAAAAAATAGCTGACAGGGACATTCCTGGAGGAATTAGGTTCATATAGTCAAATCCCTGGTAATGATTTGATGTATGAACATGGTTATCAAAACTTTAACTGTATAAAAAACAGTTTTCATTTTATATCGCCTTTTGTTCTCTGTTCCTCCTGTCTTGAAGACATTTCCCTTCTATTTCTTTCTACCCAAATAAGATTCCACGGAAATCAGTCACCCTCAAGTGCCTTGCTTAAGTGGCCAAAAATTTTTTTAAAAAATCTGGTTACTCAACCCACGGCTGTTTGTGGGGACGCTGCTGTGCGCAATTGGCTGCCGGCTTTCGCCCACAAAACACGCAGTCAGTTCACTTTACAGTACATGCTGTGAAGCTCTTTGAGACGTCTCGAAGACGTGATGAGGCGCTGTATCAAATGCGAGGATTATTATTATCAATATTATTATTATTATTGTTGTTTATCTGTGAGCTTTCCAAATGAGTGCTGACTGGCGAGATTATTCATCTCAGCCTTAGCCTGTCTTTGCTTGGTGTTTGTCCAAACTCACATCCAGCAGAGGGAGCTGGATAGCATTAGCCTCTGTGAATGTTCCACTTGCTTTGAAGAACTATCCTGAGTCGATCCTAGCACTCGTGTTGCCCCAGTTAAGATCCACTAGCTCAGGACAGGTCAGTGATGGAACCCAGAACATTCCCAGCCTGTACGACACAGCGACTCAGCTATTCAGTGAATGACTTAGAGTCATCAGGGGACACCACAAGAGTGCTTTTACTCTTATCGGAAAAATAGTCCTGCACAAGGACGGTATCCAGAGGATCTCAACGTTGCAGAGGTCACTGAAAATGTGGTGGTGAATGATCTGCTGAGTTCGCAGAATGCTAAACATTTGGGCGCAAAAACAAAAGTCTTTGTAATTTGATTTTAAATAAAACGATTTGCTGAGGAGCTAGAAACGGGACTGTGTTAAACCGTTGAGAACTTGCCAAGAGGATTGATAATTGGTCTTATTGGTGATAGACAAAATAAATAGCGCAAGTGTTCTTAGAAACTGGGAACTTAAAAAAATGAAGATTTTAGTGCTTTGGGTCGAAGCATGTTTTTTTTATATATCCTACAATTCTTATTTCCTCTGCTTCAAATTGTAACGTGAAATGTTAATGCTTCTAACTGTCTGGGTTCCCCGTTGGCTTTAAACTCTTAAGTAGATTGGAGCGGGCCTTTCAAAGATCACGCTTGTATTATGTACAGTGTTGCTGGGAGCACATAGATTCCACACCAAAACATTCTGTTTTTAATCAAACAACATGTTTAATAATAATCAAAGGGCTATTAGACTTCATTTCTTGGCAATTATACAATGCGGTTGACAGGATACAGCGAACAGTCTGTGAGGATGTCCGTTTAACGCTGCCATTTGTATCATTGTCTCTCAGAATCCAGTGGTTGTGAATAGGATGTAACAATGGTCAGATACGTACCAGCGCCCAACCCGATAAACCCACTGCAGTGCAGCTCTTAAGATTATAACTTATAATCTTTTTGGACACAGGGGCAGGAGTTGAATTCAATGACATAGTAAAAGAGTGAGCGTTGTGTACATATAATCCATGGCAGATACACCGAGAAAATAAAACTTCAGCTAAAATATTGGAAGACAAGTTGTCCTTCCAGCAAACAGCTGGTTTCGTCTGCTGAAGGCTCCAGCAGTGTTATAACGTACTCTGTTTCCATATAAAGACACTATTAAACCACATAGCTCCCCAGTAGCTTAATTACAAACAGTGTCTCTGTATCGCACAGCAGTGGTCAGAACTGGCTCAATTTGATGGATTTTCTTGAAAGATATTTGCAGAGGCAGAGAGAACTTCTGCAAACAAACAAACAAACAAACAAACACAGTGTTATCAGGCACAGTAAGACTATATGCCTTGTGCTCACTTGCAGGAGCAAAACCAAGTTTTAAGTGGGATTCGACTTCCTATTGTTGTTACATGTCATTAACAGTTATATTGATTCAATCTCCTCCAACTTCAGATGGAGTTTTCACATCTTTGGGCAGGACAAGTTTTCAGGGCTATGGGGAGAGAGCAGGGGAGTGGGGTTGAATTGGACAGATCTTCTCAAAGAGACAGCACAGACACGATGGGCCAAATGGCCTCCTTCTGTGCTGTATAATTGTATAATTCTATGATCTGCTCCTTTGCTAAAAAAAAGCTCCGTTTCCCCTCTCATACTAAACACCTTTTTGACTAACTACTCTTAATTCTATGAACTCCAAATCTGCCCAAGATTTGAATATTATCTTCTCGTCCTTTTGCTGAGCTCTTGAGAACACTAAAAGAAGCTTGTTATCCAATTGGTGATAATGAAAAATTCTACAGTGCAGCCTTTTAAACTGCACTTTGCCGAATTTTCGATCCTTTCTTCTGAAGGCAGTGAGCTATTTTGTATGCGCTTCATCCCTGGTAACCAAAAAAATTGTGAGTGTAAACCTACTGCACACTTTGTAGGGATTAACAGCAAAGTGTGAACTGTAATTTAGAATCTTGTTGAGTACTTTGGGAATAGCGGAAGTATAATGGCTACGTAGTATTATTGGTGCTAAGGCCCTTAATTGATTAATGTCATTGCATGTACAATAACTGATGAAATTCCCTTGGCTTTAGCAACAGTGATCTAATATGAAAGGTGGAAGGTGAAGATATAGAATTATATCCAACCATCAAGGGATATCCTGATGATGTGAAATGTAGTAAAGAAATGGATAGCAGGAAGCCATTAACAATATTGGTAATTATAATGAAAAACGACATTATGTGGAGTTAAATATATACTTAGAATAATAACCCTTGCATTTGATATAGTGTTTTTCATATTGTGAGGACGTCTCAAAGCCCTTCACAGAGTTGACTGGGACCCGAGCTGAGGAAGGGAAGAGAAAAGGGAAGGAGAAGCTGAGGGATGGGAGCAGAAAGGTGATCAAAAGCCAGGACGAAAAGAACGGCCTTTAGTCAGACTTTCAAGGTGGGGAGGGAAGGGCAGAGATGGAGGCAACCTCGCATGGAGTTCCAGAGAGTGGGGGCAGCCACGAGAGAACAAGGGAAAAAAAGCTACACTGAATAAACGAAAACAGTTCAGAGGCATTTTGTAAGAAATAATGAATTTAGCGAAATTCAACCTTTGCAGCAAAACAAACTGCCCCATATCGGGGAGGAAAAGAGAAATGGAAAAATTGCATCACATCCAGGAACAGTTTAAGTCATGCTCATCCATCCGCAGAATCCCACTGCAGTTTTGATGGGTGACTAAGTTATATAATATTTAGGCAGTCGATGCGATCCTATGGCATCATGTTCCAGAACGTAACTCTGAAAAAATGTCTTGCAAGAGGTTTTGTCCCTGACAGTGCGTAAGACACGGCTGTAGCAGCTGCTGAATATGATTTTGTGATCTATAAAGATATTCACAGCGACTAGGAAATGGAGATAGATTGCTCTGCCTTCCAAAGGCACTCAGACCAATGTTAAATGCTCTTGGGAGTTGCCCAAGCGGAAACTTTGCAGCGCTGACAATCCTGAATCAGGGTACTTGACTGAGCGAGGATAGTCACACTGCGCATTCCGGTCCCAGCCGCCACTTCCTTGATGGAAGCCAGCCACGTGGGTGATCAGCACTGGGGGTTAAGATCTATTTATATTTGTGGTGTGCCAAAACAGCCTCCCCCTACCAATGAGATCCAGAGGAGGAACTCTAAACCAGGCTCCTCTCTGTAATTAATCTACGCCCCAAAACTGTGGAAGAACACTCTTCCTCTATCCTCCCCGCCTCTCCCCTTTCCTTCCACATCTTCAGGTCGCACCTGAAGACCTTCCTATTCGACTGTACGTACGGTCACCTCCCCCCTCCTCCCAGCTCGCCGTCACACTCTGCCCCTGTCGAGCGCTCTGGGACGCTATCCTGCGTGAGGGGCACTGTATAAAGGCAAGTTGTTGTTGTTGTAATCACTTTTATTGCCAGAAGCAATCCAACTTTGCTTCCAGCACTGGATCCTGACTATCAGATAAGAGCCTGGTCCGTGTGCTGTAGTTTTCTAGCATTTCTCTCTCTCTCTCTCTCTCTGTGCAAAACTTTCAAAAGATTTATTTCAAACAGGTTTGACGAGATTGATTCAGACAGAGCTACAGGGTCTTACATCAATCCTATCTCTAACTATTCATCTGAAAAATCCGCCTTCCTTTGTTATTTAAAACACAAATAACTGCAGTATGCTTTGACTGGCTTCTGCAGTAGGACTTCCATGTTCTCCGTATTTCCCAAACTGTCGGCAGAAACACAGCATTGCATATCGTCGCTTCAGATCTTGAGCATTTTTGATGGGGATATTTATCCTAAAGACCAATATTAATATTCAATATAGATTAATCATTATTGGAATTTAAGATGTCTCAGTATAGTATTTGCGCTGCCTGCTTTAACGGTTTTAGCTGTTATCTCATCAATGAATTGGTTCTGTTGTAGAATTCTTTAAAAATGGACAGTATAAGCATTTAATAAATTGCCTTTTAAACTGAAAGGTGATGTGTTCGAGAAACATGAAGCTCCAGAGACTTATGAAATCACAATGATAGTCCAAGCTTTTAAAAAACACTCTTGAGAGACTGAATTAATTTAGTAATAGCCGACATTCAGTAAACTGATGTGCTTTGGGCAATTTATAGTGACAGGTAATTCTGTTGCTTGAACAAACCTCTGTTAACTTTTGGCTATTTTCTGTTCATTTTTCAATGCACAATAAATGTTCTGCTCTGACCATTTAGTTGAGCCAGTCTGAAATTGCATTTTATCGATATCACTTTTATTCCGGTCTATAACTGATAAATAATACCCAGGTACAACTTTGCTTTAGAACAGCTTTTTGAATGGTAATCATCATGTAACTATATATTTCAGTGGTAACTGTATATTTCTTGCCCTCGAATTGCTCAAATAATTTATTTTAAGACCCCCAGTGGAACTTGTTGGGAAATTACTCTTTATTAAACTGTGAAAGCTATTAATATTAACAGATAGTAATCCGTATGAAGGGATATTTTGCCTTAAGGACGAACTCGAAATAACTTTTGACTTATTCAGTATTCTAATCGAACACACAATTATTCTTCATATTTACAATTAGAGGATTTACTCACTGAGCCATACATGTTCTGAATGTATTGGAGCGCTCAGTCAGTCGGCTTCTTATACGTGCTTAGTCTTACATCTCTTCTTGAAAGCAGAGACGCCCATCATTCACACCAGTGTCTTATTTCCCACAGGCCTGAAATTAGTTAATTAGCTACAAATGAACATTGTACAGGACAGAGAAGGGGTAATAACTCCTCTTGCTTTATACATTATATTATTTTATTCTGCACCGCAATGTTATCTCCCACGCTGAAAGGCATATAGGCTAATGCGATGTTATGCATTGCCTCTTTCAGCTGGATTTACTCTCTAATTAGAAGAGAAATCAATATTCGTGTCGTCCCTAAAAATAGTGTCCATTAAAGACTTTTAAATTATTGCATAGTGTTATGATAAAGCATTAAATCAGTCAGCTTTATACTCTTTTTAATTTTTTTCTTTTAAGTGGCTACACCACTCGATCGCCCTTCTGCACTCACAATGGTTCTTGTTTAAGAATAGCAAGGCAATAAAGCTTCGGTGTAGTTTAATCAGTTCTGCTCCTTGATCTGCCAGCCAGGAAAGCAAGCTCGAACAGCGCCCTCCCACAGCTCAGTGAAGAGTGGGAATCGGTTCGGAGTTTTGTGGATGAAAGTCTGGTGATCATTGACTAGTCTGAGGTCTACACAATGAGGCCCGTCGTTTGCTGTTCATCAATCCTATAGCAGCAAAACAAAGCCAACACTCTTTAGGCCAAGACTGACTGTGGATCCAACAAATATTAGCAAACAAACATCCAGAAGCTTAACAGCAAAATGCCCTTTCCCCGATCAGAAGCCCATGGGTTTCCAATAGGTTCTGTCAGTACGTCTAAGAAGCAATTGGAATATTCAAATGTATATTTAAAAAAACAAAGTAAGGTTCACGTAGAGCAGAGCTTACCCCAATAATGTATGTTTTAAAGAGGTCATTAACACTGCAGTCGCAATTCACCACAATTGATGAAAATAACTTTTCCCAAATGCAAAAGGAAAGAACTGTTCTACTCAAAAATATTTCCTCCCTAAAATATTTCTGGATGAAAGTAGTGTTTTGTGAAACCTGAGATCATCTCTATCAGAGGGAATGACGGCTCATCTGGAATCTATTGATGCCTATTGATAGCATGACTTATTTCCTGTCGAACACCATCTAAGCAACCTGCATTGTTTTCTTTGTAGAATCACTACGACGGCGGCTTGCATGATGGACCTGCGGAGATACCCGTTAGACGAGCAGAACTGTACACTTGAAATAGAGAGCTGTAAGTAAACCATCGTTTACCCCACTCTCTGACCCTCAACCTGACCCCATGTTTATCACCAAACCATTTGCAAATGAAACATTAGTATTACAATTTTACGCCGCAGGTTTGGTAGAGATTCACCACAAAATAGGTAGTATGAGTGATTGATTGATTGATTGATTGATTTGATTTGATTCACATCCAGCAATCTCTCTTGGTAAATGCGTATGATTAGCTCTTTGGGTGAGAACAGCATTGGAATAGGTATGAGATGTCCTCGCTTTTGATGGCGTTTATCAGATTAAGAGACAAATCTGTGAGTGTCTGCCTGATTGCACAGTGCTTTGAATTACATTAACAATTAGAGTGACGTTTTATTGACAGATTTTTTCAACTCACATATTTGAAACAAGGATGCATGAAAATTAGACAGACTGTTATTCTATTGTAATTAGTTATGTTCAGGTAAATGTACAAAGTACACATTTTCATATATTGAAGAGTTCAACCGCTCTTCAGATATATGAAGGTGAATACTTTGTACAGTGTTTGTTAAACATTAGATTTGTTAAATTAACCTTAATAAAGTACTAATTACTCCACCACTCACAGTGAGAAATAAGAACCAACAGTATTGTTGGAATTTGGAATGATCTGCCTGAAAGGGAAGTGAAGTCCGATTCGATAATAGCTTTTAAGAGAGAACTGGACAGGTATCTGGGGAAGACGGGTTTGCAGGGTTATGGGGAGAAAGCTGGTGATTGGGGTTAGTGAGAGTGACGCTCTGTCAAAGAGCCGCACAGACTCGATGGGCTGAATGGCCTCCTTCTGTGCCGTAACATTCTATGAATCTATGAATCTATGAATCTCTCTTAGGAACACTAGAATTCATAATAAGAGCCTCCTTTTTTCTGGCTTTATTGTGTTGATTGAAGACAGCTTTGCATCAATTTTTCATCTGGGAAAAGTAAGCGTGAAGCACTGTCCCCAATAACCTGACTCTTTCTGCCTTTCCACTTGATGCAAAGACAGTGGAGCTTATATATTGCAGGGATCCAAGGGACTGGTCTGGGTTAGTCTAAGTACCCAGGTGACGATTTTATACAGAGAGAGTATTTGTGAAGCCAATCGTGTTAGCATTGTATTTAATTGAAATGCAAACGTTAACGCAATCACATTAACATCAAAAGACAATCACGTTATCATCAGATAATCGTAGCATAGTGTTTTCTTTTGTGCAGAAGGCAATCATGTTAATATTGAAAAGGCAATCTTGGTAACATTCGCTGTGCAGTACAGTATGAACAATACCAATATGAAGACAAGCAGCATTTAACATTAACATTAACACTAATGTAATGAACATTGTACATAAACATTATGTAACGGTAGATGTTCACTGCTGGTTTACACGGAAACACAATCTAACGCTATTGTAACAATAATATTAAGTGATTTCTGCAGAAAAATACCTCCAGGGTTGATTGCTTCATGTTTGTGGCTACAAGCCAACATGGATCTATTTGTTTGTTAACAAACTGAGTTGAAAGTTTCATAACATTGGTGAGCATTTCATTTTCAGTCTTCTTCGCCATGCATGAATTCTTTCAGTGATTCAATGTTATGGTCACGTTCTGTATAAGACACGCACAATTGACTCATGTATTAGTTCTTGATTCTTCTAACCAATCTCTATCATTGATTATCTACTCAAGCGGTGTTACCAACCGGGCGATTTTTCGAATCGTACTCCACATTAAAATCTACTGAAATGGGCTCACTCACTATTACTATTCTATCAGTTTTATTTCCATACTAAATCATGAATGTCATTGTCAGTATTTCATAATTATTTGATCAAGAAGGTAATGGATTTCCTCTATGTTCCGCCCTACCTTTGAAATGTTGCTCATTCCTTCTGATGTGAGTTCAATGACCAAAAATATATCACTAACTTGGCCCTAGCTTTCCTCATATTACTGTGTTGTTGTTGCCGCTGAACAACTGTTGTTGTTCTCACTTCTGTTTCCTCTCTGCACATCCTCCCAAAAATAAACATGTAAAGCACATGTACTCGATCTGCACTCCCTGCAAATCTATGGCAATGACACAAACTTTTATCGAATTGAATAGGTCAATCGATCGTATCTCAGGTTATTGTTTTGTATCTTATTAATTTTCTTGGAACAGGTAGATTAGAACAGGCCAGAATACTTATTTATGATTGATTTGAATGTACAGATTACTTATTGTTAAGTGCTTGTGTTTTCAGTGACTAAGAAATCAATATGAAAACAAATAATGGAACTGTTTTCTGACTCATATCTATCCAGCTTTGTGTTGGAGAATCTTGTGGCTTGTGGAAGAGGTAGAAGTAGCCCATAGCTATGTACCTGTCATAACAATAGTGGCGCTATAACTTGAATCCCACAAAGGTCATCTTTAGCCAATTCTTCCAGTCGATCAACCACATGTTTGACCTTGTTCTTTGAATACTGAGCAGTAGCAAGGGTCAATGACATGTCTGACCGACAAGCCCTCAGGGTACAAGGATTTGTATAGAACTCTGAATTCATCTGGAGATGTTTGATATTAGAGATTAATATTACACCCTGCCAATGTGCCTACCATCAGTGAACTCTGCTGTGTGCTTCCTCTGCCTAGAACCCAAGTCTCGATTGCTCCCTTGTGTGCTCGCTGGCCCAAGTCAATGCATCCAGTACAAATACAAAATGACATGTGCACAGCGCCTTTCACGTTGGGAGGACGTCCCAAGGCGCTGGAGAGTCAGGGATTTGGACCCGAGCTGGGCGAGGGGCTTGGGATCCGGAAGGGAGGAGGACAGGGAGGGTACTGGTAGGAGGTTGGACGAAGGTGCGATTGAGGAGGAGGATCTTGAGATGTGCTTTGAAGGAGGCAAGGGAGGGGGTGAGGTGAAGGGACTGTGGGTTAGAGTTCCAAAGGGTGGGGTCAGAGAGGCTGATGGACTGACTGGCGATGGTGGGGCGGGCCGAGCGTGGGGACACACTTCCTCTGTGAGAGGGAAATTCCTGACTGTGTGTGTCGCAGGGCAGAAAGGTACATTGAAATGAAAAAATAACATATGTGACAGTCGGTAGTTCAACATTAATATTTTTTGTTTCAGTTTATAAACTGCCTTTTAATCAATCGCTGCATCAAGATACCGCTTATCTAAATTAGGTTAACGTCGGAGCTTTTGATCAATAGTTCCCTTGTCTTTCGGAAAAAGCAAGACGTGATATCTAAAGCAAAATTAAATGTAAAATGAACCACAGGAAATATATTATTTCAGGGGCAACAACAGTCTGATCTTTTGTCCTTCCCTGTCATGCAATTATGCTGAGAAAGACATGCCCAGGTACTACATATAGAAGCAAATAAAATGTTATCGAAAATTACAGCCTTGCCACGTTCAAGCTAATAATTATTTGTTTGACCTCTTGAGGCCTAAATGAACAGGTTCATTCGGTGATAAGAGTGTTTTCCATGCGTGTGAATTGCTGCAGTAATGCTTTTCATTTGTGCGGAGAAACAAAATAATTGCCAAGTTATCGAGTGTTCTGGAGGGCAGCAAAATAGTTTTGAATAGGCATTTCCAAACCTCATGAATTTGATGCATTTGCTCCCGTTGACCTTGGAACTGTGTCAAATTGTCGGAGAGATTATTGGAAAAATCTGTTTGCTACTTGCATTCAGACACGGTCAATAAAAAAAAATGAAAAAGTGAAATGAAAATAGCACAGTAATCCAAAATAAAGTGTCATGAATGCATTTCAATTAATTTCACATCTGCAAAATATTGATGTGTTTAGCATATACAGTTAAAGCCTAAGCTAAACTGCAGTCACCATAAAATTGTTAAGCTCGTTAGGTTAACTTTTAGGAGTATGCTTTATTGCAATGTACAGTGGATATCGTTCCTGGTAAGATACGTGCTGGGTCATATCAAGCTGCAAACTAAATTCAATATCTGAAAGTTGAATCTTTCAGTCACACATCTTATGCTCGCTAGGACTGCTGCCTATTTTCATTACATTCGATAAGACATTAATTTAATGCCCGTGGATGACAACTCATTAGCAAGACTATTACCAAATAATCTTTCATAGTGTGGAACATTTAGGTGACACGCAATTTCCAGACTATGAGCACGCTGAAAACCAGCAATGCACTGCAGAGTAACACTTAATCCGCATACCAGTTGTGAAGAAAAATGCATCTCGCGGGACAAAAATAAATTAGGTGCTGCTAATTATAGTTATAGAACTGACTGTTCCAATAATCATGTGTTCACTATCACTCATAACATCTGTATATTGTAGATTCATTAGAACATTAGAGATTCATAAGAATCTCCATTATAGTACTCGGTTCTATTAACAGGATATTGTACCTTAGCCCCTGAATTTTGATATTGCACTTGCTTTAATTTTAGGAATTGAACAGTCTAGCAAAGAATGGTGCGCACGATTTACTGTCTAGCGATAAACATTGTTTGTTATTTTTCTTGTTTAGTAACTGATACATTGGACGAGGAGTATGTATTTGCTTTTCACTTGTAAATTTCTGAATTCAATCAAAAAATCAGTTACGTGGCAACCACATTACAACACAGTCTCTCGGATCCAAAAGATCCTATTAGCTTTGCGGAAAAATATTGTTTGGTTCCACTTCCAAGGCATCAGGTCAACACAGTATTACACGCACTCTGTGCTTATAGACTCATGTCCACTAACAGCCAATTTGCAGCTGGGTCCAACTAATTTCTCAAAGGAACATTAGGGCGACTATATTTTTTAAACTAAATCTGGGGACAAATAAAAAAAAAGGAACTCACCGCAATCCCAGATGCAGACATAATGGATAAACTTGTTGGATTAATGGCTGTATTTCACTGGTGTGTTTTAGAACGTTATTGTTCTTGCTCTGTTTGTTGCTGAACTCAAGACACGGCAAATTTGGATTTTTTTTTAGAATATGGCAATCCTGGAGCAAATACTGTCAGTCACTATAACGTTTGGCCTAATTTTTTTTTGAACAATTGTAATCCTCGTGTATTATCATACAGGAATAATTAGTTGCCACACAACTATCCAAAGATTAATGTACATTTTTAACACCTCTTCACGTACTAATGCATGTTGCCTTAGCAACCGCATACCAAGCACTTGCAAAGCGCTGTACCACTAAAGAATGAAGTTCAGTACTTATTAATGCAGCGATAAAGAGAAATACTGTCATCGCATTTGACTAACTGCAGGTGCTTGTTGAGTCCAAAGGCTTAAACATTGCTTGACTCAGTGTCCATAGATCCCGTGGTACAGAATATGTTGTGCTTTGAATTTGATTACCGCTACTACGGGTTGATAGTGTCGGGCATCAGAAAGTGATAGATGTTATTTATCCAAGCAATTCATGTCCCTATTATCCTCCAGATGGATACACTACAGATGACATTGAGTTCTACTGGCGTGGAGGTGATAACGCAGTGACTGGAGTGGAAAAGATTGAGTTGCCACAGTTTTCTATTGTTGATTACCACCTAATATCCAAGAACGTTGTTTTTTCTACAGGTATTATTAATTATTTGGATTGAGGTAGCGGAGGGGGGAAGGGGGGAGGTGGTGGCGGGGGCGAAGGAGGAGGTGTGATGTGATGTGGTGTCACAATTTGCAGATGGCACCAAACTTGGAGGGGGGAGCTGATCTGGTAAAGGAATGCAACCAAATGCAGGAAGATAGAAATAGGCGAGCAGAATGGGCAGATGAACGGCCAAAGAAGTTCAGCACAGAAGTAATGTGAAGTAATTCACTCTGGTAGAAAAAATAAAGAAACTGTCTCTAGCCTAGAAGGTAGGAACAAAGAACCAAAGGGATCTGTAGAATCTGATCCACAAATCTATATATAAAAAAAGGCACAGTTAGATGGGGCCACACAAAATACCAATGGGGTCCATGATTTTATATCCAAAGGGTAGAGTATAAAAGTAAGGAGGTAATGTTGAATTTACGTGATAGACCCATATTTGGAGTTCTATGTGGAATTCTAGTGACCAAACTAAAAAAAAAGGTGATATCAGCAATGGAGAGTACAGCAATAATAATAATAAACCTTGCATTTGATATAGCGCCTTATCACGTCTTCAAGACGTCTCAAAGCGCTTCACGGGATACACTGAAAAGTGAATTGACTGTGTATTTTGTGGGCGAGGCATTATAGGATTCCTGGAATGATACCAGCCTGGCAGGTTACTGCTGTCAGGATAGACCGGATTATGTCAATGTAATCAACTGTAGCAATTAAACCATAGTTTTCCAGCAATTACTCAGATATCCATTAATGTATATGTAACTGATTATGGGGAATTATATCAATGGCAGTAACATTATGGACCTCGAGCACCGTATGGGTAGAGCAGGATGTGTGTGTTTCGGGAGTGAGCATGAACATAAGATTCGACTTGTTAAAACTTATTCCATAAAATAATTGCTTTTCAGGTTCTTACCCTAGGCTCTCCCTCAGTTTCAAGCTCAAAAGAAACATTGGCTACTTCATCCTGCAAACCTACATGCCCTCGATACTGATCACCATCCTCTCGTGGGTGTCTTTCTGGATTAATTACGATGCTTCTGCTGCACGAGTTGCTTTAGGTATGACTTTTAAACTCCTGCATTGCCGTCTTATTATCATTTATTCTCTTTGTCTGTACCTGTGTATACTTTGGTCTCTCTCTTTTGGAAAAATTAGTAGGCCTCCAGGATAATAATAATAATAATAATAATCCTTGCATTTAATATAGCTCTTTTCACGTCGGGAGGACGTCTCAAAGCACTTCACTGAATATACTGTAAAGTGAATTGACTGTATATTTGTGGGCGAATGCGGCAGCCAATTTGCGCACAGCAATGTCCCACAAACAGTCGTAGATTGAAAATGACCAATTTATTATTGTTTTTGGTTTTGGAGGGATTATTATTAGGCTCTGTGTGGGGTAAGGAAACTTGCCCAAGGTTTGGCCCTCTGCCTGGAATTGAACTCAGGTCTCTCACTTGCAAAGCGAGTGCTCTAACCACTGAGCTACAGGATAGAGATGGGAGGAGACAAATTGCAATTGATTGACAGCGGACTCCAGCCATTCGCGAGCGCCTGGAGTTGGGTTGTCAATCAGTGGTGTGAGGGGGCACCGAGGAACGGGGAAGAAACGAGAGATGGATGGAATGGGAAGAGTCAATTCACAATTGAATGACAGCTGGGACTGCTTGCGAATGGGTGGAGTGTCCATCCAATCACAAGAGGCCCAAGACTGTACATCACATTGGAACCACCGCTAATTGGTCACTTTCTAATTGAACGGCAAAGGATTATTATTATAAATAGGGGTCTCTCAGACCAAATTGACCATTGACAAATCTACCATCCCTCATGCTTAAACCACCTTCTTTGCTGGTCATTTCAGTGTTTGTCATCAACAGCGTTAACAGGGCTCCCTTTTACTGATCTAATGTTGATTACTTTCCTGTTAAGAAAAGTCTTGAAGAACTTTTGAATCCATATCCCAACCATCCTTGTTTCTAGTCCTAATTGTTTCCTGCAGCCACTTCTTTAACTCTGGACTCTTCTGACCATTGTTGGCACATAAACGCCTGCGAATTTACTATTAATTTTGTTGCGTCAAATTGTAATTGTTTAAACTGATTATTGGTGCATAAATGATAATAATAATCCTTGCATTTGATACAGCGCCTTATCACGTCTTCTAAGATGTTTCAAAGCGCTTCACAGAATATACTGTCAATTGAATTGACTGTATATATTGTGGCCGAAACGTCCACAAAATGCTCCACAATGCTCCAACGCATGATATATTTTTGTGTCCCAACACTTTGCAGGTATTACAACGGTGCTTACTATGACCACAATCAACACCCATTTACGAGAAACCCTTCCAAAAATCCCCTATGTCAAAGCCATTGACATGTACTTGATGGGCTGTTTTGTATTCGTGTTCCTGGCCCTGCTGGAGTATGCCCTGGTGAACTATATCTTTTTTGGGAGAGGGCCACAACGCCAGAAGAAGATAGCGGAGAAGACAGCGAGTGCCAACAATGAGAAAATGAGAGCAGAAGCTAAGGTATATTTTTTTTATCGGATGTGGCAGAGCGGAATGGGGGTGGGGGGGGGTTGAATGGATGGATCAGGGAGACAGGAGCAGTTTGTAATTATAACGGTTGTACAAAGTATACACCTTGACAATTATTAGTGGTCAATCCTAATGTACTTTGTCTCCTGGAGTGAATGCCCAATTGTGCAGTGAAACATCTACCTTTCTCTGGACTTTGCCTGCAGGCATCCAATGAAATTTGCAGCCAACTAAAGGGAATTAGTTGAGCACCACAGTTAAAGGAGAAACACAAATTCTGTGCATATCAAGCAAACGTAACCTCGTGTTTGTTCCACTTCTCTTTATTTCTTTGCTGAATTAAATATTAGATCTCCTGCATCTCTACATGAGATACAATTCAGTGAACACATCCAGAATTATTTCCTGGCCTTAAATTTCTCTGCTATCCCCAGAAAATCGAGGTGGTTTTTTTGGTTGTACAGTTATCAGCAAAAGAAATAACTGTCCCATTATTCTTATCAAATCTTATCAATTTTTAATTGTTTGTTTATTATTTTATTGGCTACACTCAGTGCCTCTATTAGAGATGTAGAAAGAATGATAAAAAGCAATAAATAATAATAATAAACCTTGCATTTGATATAGCGCCTTATCACGTCTTCAAGATGTCTCAAAGCGCTTCACAGAATATACAATCCACAACAGTGCATTTTGTGCATTAACAGCTTGCTCTATCCAGTCCTGTTGCATAAGCGTTCACAAACATAAGAATTCGCAGATAATTGCCATGCGCCGTTATTTTTCCTTTTGTGTACGCGTAGACTTCAGATCCTGAGATCTGTGGGTCTAATTTAGATGCTGTTGCCATCACGCAAGTTATTTAACCAGAAGTAATGGGAATGCCTTTGGATTCAAAATAATTGTTACCTTCCAAGCGTGAGCTGGGAATACTTTCAGCTCGTGCTCAGTCTTGACCTTGTCAAGCAGCCTTACATAACCAGTGTGTAAATTTACCCAAGGTCGGGCAGAATAATCGAAATAATGACGGTTTTCACTTGTCAGGAATAATTGTTGATTTCGATATTAGAAACGTATTTGCCTGTACACTACTGTGTTGTTTGCTGCACAAGCTTTGCTCATCTACTAGTCCATTCGTCCGTCTTTGTCTGTATCGTTTTGCTAAGAGTTCCATCTCTTCACTGATTTTTTTTACCGCTCTTCATATTTCACCTGCTGTCTCAATTTCAGAAAAAAAAGAAAACACCGGCCAAACAGAAAAGAAAAACTACAAAATCAATGTTTCCCTTATCTTACAGAGTTGTCATCCTTTTCATTCCCAGATGGATCCACACGAAAACATTCTGCTGAGCACGCTTGAAATTAAGAACGAGATGAGCGCGGCCGAGATGACGATGGGGATCACCGATCCCAGGAGCACCATGATGCCGTACGACACGTCCGGGATCCAGTACAGGAAGTCAGGATTGTCCAGGCACGGCTTTGGCAGGAGCGCTTTGGAAAGACACGTGGCCCAAAAGAAGAGCCGGCTAAGGAGGCGCGCTTCGCAGTTGAAAATCAACATACCTGATTTGACTGATGTGAACGCCATTGACAAGTGGTCACGGATGATCTTTCCCCTCGTTTTTGGGTTCTTCAATGTGGTCTACTGGCTCTATTATGTCAATTAAGCTGAAGAATGTGCACAGACAGTGTCTTTCCACAAAAAAAATTATTTGTTTCGCAGCAAAAGTGGAACCTTCGTTTTGAAACTGAGATTGTTCAGGACAAAATTTTGCATGCACTTTAACTCCTTAATGGCTGGCTCGATTTGGACTCTTCATTGGTTCTGTTTCCGTTTTTATTGATACTCATTTGGGCTGATAGTTCCATCTCTTACGCTTGATACATTGTGGAGGTTTTTTTTGTTTACTTTATATATAAAAAAAAGATGTTGCACAGAAGCAGATGACACCACCATCACATCAAAATATACCATTAGTTTAAAAAGATCATGGTTTAGAATGGAGCAGCTGACGCCAATATTTAGTTGTTATTTTACATTATAAGGCAAATATTTCGTCTTTCAGTTAATTATTGGTGAGTAAATGTGTTTACTCCAGGCCAGCATTTCCTTTCTTTTAAGCATCTAGGAGTCACCATATATTCAACTTTCCAATGACTCTGCATGCAGGGCGATTGACATCAGTTATTAACGTAGACAAAGGAGTGTAGCTGTGTCCCACTGAAGATACTGTGACCCACAATTTAGAACAGACCAGCAAAGTTACTAACAATAGAACTGGAACTGCAATCCCCCCTTTTTCCCTGTAGCAGACCACGTAAAAGCTCATCGAATTGAGCCTCTATATCGATCTGACATCTGGACATGTATTTCTGGGCATTTCAATTGATACAGTGTCAATGATCACATATGCCATGTCTGTAGAATCGATGATTAATTCATACAACTAAACTAACAAGTGGGATTTTTCTATACTGACTACGAAAGGGCAGGAAAACCAGCCAATGTCTGCAATCAAGTTGCAAATTCCTTCTCTTACGCAGTGGGATTGAAATTCATGCAAGCCTCTTGGCGAGCAAAGTCTGTGACTCTCTATCAGATTTTAAATATTGCAAGTCTGATCGATTACTTTTCAATATCATTTGGAGATCCTCATTGTAACAGACGGTGTCTAATTCAGTCCTCACCTCGTGAAAGCAGTATTCTAATTTGCTATGTTTCTACAATGTGGAGATGATCAAAAGAACACTATAACAATGTCCAACAGCGATGGAAAGCGGGGTAAATGAATTTGCTCACGTATAGAATCGTGTGACTCAAGGTAGAAGCTTTGGAGTGAGCTGACAAATATACAGGGAGCCTATCTGATCACCAGTTTTAGAAAACGAAACACATTTTTTAATTTCAATCCTAATGTACAGTATTTAAGCATCAATAGGACTTACATTCCAACAGCATTCTCTATTCTGGGTTGAAAAACAATGTCTCCTTAGAATCACATCAACTTTATTTTTTTGTAATTTTTAACATGTGCCAAATTATTGTTCTCTTTGTTTAATTAAAACGCACACTTTGTATTTATTGAGTTGCAGATCATGTTTCTATTGTGGCTTTGGCCACTATTTTCCTTCTTCCTACAAAGCCCTGTATAACTTGCTAGCTGTAATCTGCAACTACAATCACAGGGTTGGAATCAGTGTTAAGTTACTTGAATTGTTTAAACTTAAGTATGTCCCATTGAAAAGGGATAGAAAGGTAATGTATTTCCCATTATTGTGGAATAGTTGTAAAGGGAGCACTTTCAGTTTCATACGTTTACATATCTCTTAAACATAGGCCTCCAGGAGGCTGAGCAAAAGTTATATATTGATTTTAAATGTTGTAAATTTATATGTTGTAAATTACTAGTATATTTTCCCACAGGCAAAATTGGTCCCAGGTGTCCATTGTTGTCATTGTAGAGGTACTTATGGTGTAAGTGGCAAAGATAAACAATCTCCAAGAAAGTATTCCCCAGCAAAGTAACAATTTGATTGCGATTCAGGTTTATACGGTTATCACCACAAATAATTGAGTAATGCAGCAGGATAGCACCCTATTCTCTCTGAGCTTAGTCCTCAGATAAAAACCAGCCCAGACAATTAAGATAAAGATCTCCTAAGTTGCTGAAGATGTGCTGGACATTTCCTTTTGAATGTTAGTTCAAATGCGGCTCAGACAAATCAGATAAAGTTGTTTTATATCATCGACGGGAGTAGCTGAGTGATGTGAATGGGACAGGATTTTGAACCCAGCTCAGACAGACATAGGAAGTATTCTGCCTTTAGAAGGAAGGTTGTTGATTGGTGTACAGGGTACCTCTTTTCTCCTTTGGGATCTGGGTTTGAATCCAGCTCAGACTGAGGAGATAAAGATTATCTCCCTTTCCTGTTGAGAAGGTGATTGCTAGTGTGGCTCACCCTTTCTCTTGGACTCAGGGCTCAATTCCAGTCCAGACAGTGATAGAATGAAGGTCTCGCTATCACTGACACCTAATAAAAGCCCTCTGGTGAAATTAGTTTGGGCAGAGTTCTGTCTGGTTTTCAGTCATATCAGAAATGAGAGTAAAAAGGGATGTGCTATATAATATGATATTTCTTTGGCTTGGACACATTAAGTTGTCATTCCCATCCATGTTTCCTGTTTCCACATGGAGCCAGCCATTCAGGCGTTATGTGTCTTGAAGAAGCTTCGAAACACATGACTACAATTCCTCTTACTTATTGTCATGCGTTTCACAGCAGTCTGTAAATATATATAGTTGTGGGCAGGTAGTGGTATGTATTTTTTAGTTTTAGTGCAGATTCATGCAACATTTTGATTTAGTTTCAATACTTTATAAATGTTTTACATAAGGAATGCATAGTTTGTACATTTCTTAGAGATTTTCAGGATTAAAAAGTGGGTTGGATAAATACTAAACATTATGTTTTCAAGTGTATAAAGAGTGCCATGAATGGAAACACAATGTAATATTTCGGTACTTCAAGGAATAGCCATTGGATGTGTCCTATATGGCAATACGTTTCTTGAACTGTGTTCGTACAAATGCAAATCTGATTTTCCGCACCCAATAAATTCTGTTCACTTGGGATTTTTTTTTAACCCAATGGACAAAATTGCACAACAAGAACTTGATTTGGTAGACACGTACATGACATTAACAGGAGTGGGTGAAATTATGTAACATGCTCTTTATATGGTACTTTGATGATTAAAGATTGCCGCATATGTTCCATGTTATAAGCGACAGATCTTTAATCATCAAAGGTTCTGAACTGTGGTGTGAAAGTACACTGTCAATTCCAAGCGGAACATTTACCAATGATGTTTAAGACTCTTGACAACAAATATTAAAATGTTAAAAAGATGTTTTAGAGCTTTGAGGCGTTAGCTAATTCAATATTGAAATGCGATCTAGATCTCGAACGCAGTTCTGTTCAAGATTTGATAGATAGTCTATGTTACTGTGATCTTACCTCAAGCAGACATGGCATCAGTGTGTCAGAAATTGTATAATTTTATGTCTGCTGAAATAGCTCAATTGAACTCAGTAAATTGTTCGAAGTTATATCAATAGGAAATATCCACCGAAGCAGTAGTATTTTTTTTAACCAAAAATCCTTCTGCATAGTTTTGAAAGGTACTTATTACTCTTTTTTCATTAAAAGTAACAGAGAACAAATAATTTCGGCTGTCTGGCAGCAAGAGACGAGAATTAGTTCAACAATGCAACTCCAGCAATGTGAAATTGTACACCAATTAATTGATATTTTGAACACATTAAATTACCTAAACCTGCTCTAAAGCTTTTATACATGAAAAATATCATTGGTATGGATAGGTCTTGACCCTGTTTAAGGTAGTTGCGATTTGTATATATGGTATGAGACTAATTGAACTCACTTGCATCAGACAAATGGTTTTAATGAGAAGGGCCATGACACTATACTTCTAAGTTAATAATCCTAATGAATAGAAACTGATTTGGATGAATAACTCCAACATGAAGAAAATGGTAATTAACAGCTAATAAGGTTGCTTATGATCTTTAGCAACGTACAGACAAAATATTTGTTACTCGCCATTTTCGCAAACCAAACAAATGTACAAAATCCATAGAACGATGATAATTGCCAATAGTCAATGAAACAAAATAACTCAGGATAAATCCGGATACAGTGTTGTGTTTTACAGGGCTTGAGAACTCCTTTTTATACACTTGAAAACTGTTTGCAGAAATTTCAATTATTTTTCATTCTTTCACACTTCTTCCCATCTCTTCCCCCAGGAAGCTATGTTCCTGTTCCCCGTTCTGCCATCTCCCAATCCTGTTCCCATTGCAAAAGGTTATGCTTTTTTTTCCCCTCCCTCCCTCCCTCCCACCCCCTTCCATACATTATATAAAACAAGTATTGTGAATATTGTCCATCTAATTCAGAACAGCCTCAGTAATGAACTATTTTAGATGGATTTATTAGAGATTAACTCATTTTCGAGTAACTGGTTTATCGCTTATTTTTCTTGTAGCTCCTAACGTGCAAGCTTTTCCAATAAGGCGACTCAGGCTAAATTCAGCACAAGAAACAATGTGACAGGTTAAATGGCTAATCTGATATCAAATCAAAGTATTTAATCACCAGACATTTTCTGAAGAGACTCTTTTTTTTCCTGAGATATCTGAATTTGAAAGACAATTTAATCTGTTGTCCATTTGGAATAAAATATTAATTCTCCCTTTCCCTTGACCCCAAGTTCCAATCAGGTATCAAAATCCTAATTTCTTCATACTGTACTTTATAATGGGAGAGGGCGGGGAGGATGTGATCTGTTTATCAAATCTTATTTTACCTCCAATGTTTCAGAATTGGGGAGTAAAAGTGTAGTCAATTCACTACAGCTGTAAATAAAAAATACTGAAGTCTGAGCGATAAACAAGGTTACACATGTAAAGAGGTTCATTTACCAACTGAATAAGCCATCAACATGGTATCAATGCAACCGGATAGGTGGCCTTAGCACCTCTCCATAAATAGCCCATTGTCATATGTTTTACCATGTTACGTGTGCATTTATTTCAGTGGCTTATCATCCTCGCCCAGCCTAGTTTACCTAAACAGATTATAGAGTGTTTCTGTAGTAGTGGCTTTGTTTATTGTATAGTTCAAGCTTTTATAGATTTCATACTCCCTTCTGCACTAAATGTCATCTTTTGCACTATATCTGATTTGGATTTATACCATGTACTTCAGTGCCAGGAAATAAATATAAGAACTGATGATATTATTAGATTAATTAAAATTAAAATATCTGAGCACATAACATTGTTCAATTGTTTGAATATATTCATATCATAGTAGAACGAACTTCTAATATATTGCTTTATCTGAAAGTTAAAAGTTTAATAAACTGAATTTAAAATCTTCCTTTTTCAGTAGCTAGATTATATATCTCATAGACTAGATTAGAAATTATTTTTCCTTGTTTTTTCCAATGTGGATCTTTTGAATGAGACACATTAAATCTAGAAACCAATGCAAACATATCTCAAGCTGACCAAACTGCAAAAACATTGCAAATTAGAAGTCAGGAATGGATTTAAAGGGGAGCGTTAATGTAGGATGAGTCCTTTAAATGTAAAGTGCCTGCCTTCCATTAAGTGTCCCAACTCTGAGCAGCCTCCTTCTGTTGAAGAATTATCAGTCGCTGAAGAGCTTATTCAGAGTACTGTAGGGTGACCTTTCGTTGAAGCTCATGCACGCTGCTTACAGTAGGTAATGGGTTCATGGCTGCACTCACCAAATACCATCGAGTCTCCCTCACCAAACAATCTGATTGTGTTTTACAATCACTGGCCTGCTTTCTGTTCTCTGCTGGAAACGAAACGTATCAGGTCACTGGTTTAAAATATTAAACCACGGGCTACTAATTGGCCCACAGAACAGAGCGACGTCACACGGCACGCAGTGACAATTGGTGAATAAGTTCCGTTTGGACTCCCCTCACCTAATGTTTTAGCAGGACGTTTCTGCTGCAATAAAATGAAATATCACCTTGCGTATCTCCTGGGGTTATGAGAATTACTACTGACTATATTTCAGCAGTACAAGATTAGATCCCACTAACACTACTGAGCACTTGGAGGGGAAGATGAGAACTGTACATCTATCGAACTTCCTGCTAAATGTTCCCCTTTAACATAGTATTGTCTCTCATGGGGCTGGGGGTGGGAGGGGGGGAAACATCCTTCACTGTACTTCAAGCCATTTTACCAAGTGTATATAATATTCATCTTGTCGATGGCCATCACTTGGGGATGAATTCTTGTAAATATAAGCAGATTTCTTAAGAACATTTTTAACTTCTAATTTGTATTTTAATGTAATGCGAATGCTCAAGCAGCTTCATGGTACAAGCTAAAGTGTTTAAACAATAATGTAAATATCAATGGAAGTATCCAACGCACACTTGATAGATAACCTAATTGTTTAGAGCTTTGTTTTATTCAGTTATAGTAACCAGTAGCACAGCTGTGACTGAGCTGTTTATTTTTTTGGGGGGGGTGTGGGAGGCAGTGGGGGTGGGGGGGGAGTGCAGGGGAATTCTTTTATTTCATGCAGTAGTTTTCATCAGCCTTATCATAAGTTGAAAAAAGTAGCCTTTTTCTGTATGGACAATATGCACATTTTCCAACTGCTAAGTAAATGCAGAAGAAGAGTGGACACACACTAACTACCACATTGATGTTTAATGTCCACTACTTTGAAAATTGTCAGTGTTGGAATGTACAAATGAATAGGGGGTTGGTAATCTACTGATTGTAAATGAGTTGGGCCATAAGGAATATTTTCTTGACTAAATTTTCTGCAGCAAATT